ATCTTTGAGGGTGCAAACATATACTCGTATATAAAGAAGTACAGTAGTTAAAGCAGGCTCCCTCATTCTCCCAGCGGAAGAGTCCGTCCAAAGCGACGATCGACGAGGACAATATCTTCGAACGTGCGTACGCGGAGGTCGCTCGCGACCTGAACCTTGCGAACGCACCACGTCTTGACGTCAAATATAACCCACTGATTTTGATACCGAACGCTCAAGAGCCCATTCAGAACCGCCGACGCGCGGTCGAGATGGTAGACGTCACCAAGGATCCAGTCGTCGTGCTCAAAGAGGTACTTCGCCCCACCACAGAGCAGCATCGACGAGCTCACACGAGGGAGCCCGCGCTTCCAGAGACAGCGCACCAGACCAAAGCAGACGCCGTTGCAGACTAGCACGATCCCCACCAGCGTCAGAAGTCGTTGTAGTGATCCAATCACGACACTGCCTGCCACACACACCACTTGGTAGTCCAATGTAGCAATCTCACAAGTTGGAGATACTGTGATGGTGGCCTGGACCGGCGCCAGTGTCGCCAGCAGCGCCGAGATGAGCCACATGAGCAGACTGTTGATGGTAGCGTACGCGATCGTGTGGTCTTGCGTCCAGACGAGCGAGATGTCGTTGACGATACCGACAAGCCACGTGACTTCATTCGCTGCGAGACACGTCGTCCAGAGCGGAACGGGCGTCGTGACAAAGTAGCTGAAGACACCGTCAGTTTGGAGCTCAATCGAGGCAGTCGAGAGAAGACAGAGAGCCGTGATACTCCGAACCACGACCAATGGTCGACCGACCCAGACGATGCCGCCGACGCGACTCATTTCAAACATGTTGAGACCCTCGACGTAACCTCGAGATAGTAAAATGTACACAAACGTGACGGCTGCGAGCATGATCATGACGAAGGTGACATATCGGATGGCTTGGAGTGCATAGAAAGCAAAGATAGTTGGCAGTTGCGCCACGTCGACGGTTTGCTCCAGTCGTGTGATGTCGTTGCCCATGGCGGTTAGGGTATTTAGATCACCTTGGAACGAGATGACTTCGCGGTTGCCCATCGCCCAATCATATACGAAGAGCCATGCAAAAAAGTGAAAACTCGGGTCCGATAGATCAAGAACCGGCAAGTGGAAGAGCTCAATGGGTGCTGTCTTGTTGACCCGACCGAACTGAACCCACTCAATCCGGAGCTTGTCAATAGCCGCGTAGAGAGATGGACGCCAGTTGGGCAGTGTCGAAAGGTAGGGGAGAAAGGCCTGCCCCGCGCGAATTTTGGCCTCGCAATGTGTTCCGTCGCTATGGCTATCGAGAAGACAAATCGACGTGACATTGGTCGTCGCACCAATGTTGCTCAGAGTTACGGCAAACAGAATGTGGTCGCGCGGCGGTACAAAGGCCATCGCTGAAGAATACGGGACATCACAGCCGTCTTGATACGCGTCGGTGCCAATGATCCATTCGAGGGTCTCAAGGTACGTGCTTGGCTGGTCCGGACATAAGACGGAGCCACTCACGGTGTAAATGGTCTCCTTCCACTGCGACGGCGCTGGTGCCAAGATGTACTTGTCCGGAAT